TTGAGATTGAGATTTTGAGTTTTAAACCACATCATCCTTCTACTATATTTCCCAAATGAGCTAGTTTTTGTTTCTTTTGTGCAGTGAGTACAAAATTCATCTGAATAAAACTCTTAATGTGTCTCAAATTGTTTTTTATGGTGCAATGTAAATTTTTTCCTTTTCAGACTTTCGTATAATTGTTGCATTGAATTTACAATAAATTAGAGAGCAGCCAAATGGGCGTTCCACTTTTTACCTCGCACAGTACCCGTACCTCATGAAAATATCAAAAACTACACTTGTTTACACGTATACATAATTCGAGAATTTTGGTTCACTTACATGAGGGTCGGCTGCGTATTTATCCACATTGAGACGAGCCAAATTAACAAAAGGTCCATCGGCACTAGCTGCCATAGAAGCCTGTCAAAAATTGCATTTACCTTCTAAACAGTGAAATTGAGCATTTTACCGTTCCCAAACGTAGCTGTCTGGCTGATCCACTGCTAACGGCTCTGGCTGTCCTAGCAGTACGACTTGTGCGTACTGCTTGCTCCATGGTCCCGGGACGAAGTGATGTTAGCGGACGGGCTACGCCTGAGAGCGGTCTTCCTGCTGTTGATACTGGTCTAAAATAAATCTCGTTACTTCTCGTTTCTGTTAGAAACAAGTTAATCACCTCATGATTGGATTCATCCCTTTTCCGGTAGTGGTTGGTCTTTGGAAGGATGTTCCAGGGCGAGCATTTGGTGCAATGACATTCTGATCCAAAAATGTCTCAGCAATGCCGAGTTCATCATTTTCAAGTTCGTCAACGTAGACAGGGTCAGTCAAGCAGCAAAGTTTCAGAGCCCATGCGGCCTAAATAACTATAGAACTGCAAAAAATCGCACGAGTATTCTTCTACCAAACTTGATACCTGATCTAGAGGATTTTTATTGAGTAGCTTCGTGCACTCCTCTTCGCATGCTTCGATTTGATTGTTACGATAAAGGCGAAGAGCTTTGAACAAGCCTTCAAACTTTGGCGTCTCTGCTGCAGCACTAACTCCCTCTTCCATACTGAAAAGACAAACGCATATTATTTCTTTACAAAAGAACTTCAGCTGTAGAGCAGGGCATGAATAGTAGATGGTCCGGTACTTAAAGTGCCTCTACAGGACCGTATTTGTGGCGAGATGGCCGAGCGGTCTAAGGCGCTGGTTTA